CCCGCCTCTAATAGGTGTAATGTGCATATCTCCTAAACCGCTAATGCTATAATAACAAAATTCACTAGAAGCAAATGTTTTTAAAACCCCTACCTACAGTGTGAAAATAGTTGAAATCGGGTGGCAACTCCGCCTACTCCCCATATAACGGTACTGTTAAAAACTACTAAAAGCGCGATAAATCAAGCACTAAACACGCCAGAGACATTAAATTTTATCTCTGGGATGGTATGAGATGACTTTATAGGAACCGCGTTTAAAATTAGACAATGGGCGTGGAACAGCCCACTTTTAGGTGAAAACCCATATCTTGGGATCTGCTTAACCGATTTCAACCAAATTCGGTGCATAACGTTCTTTTCATATTTCTATGTTCTAGTGCGAAATCGGACTACAACTACGCCTATTTCCCATATAACACCATTTTCAATTCCATTTGATTCTTTCACTTTCCACTATGCATATCAAGTAACAATGATTATATCGGGCTAAAACTTTGCGTGAATAATACGTTTAAAGTATGGCACCTTGTGACCAAAAATTGTCTAAATCGAACCAAAACTGTTCAAGCCCCTAAGTACTGAATATATGTGGACCCCAGTGCCTATAGTTGACCTTCTACTGAAAATATCAGCCAATCCACAAAGAAATCAACGAGTATACCATTTGACTTTGCGAGAGTATAAAATGTTCGGTTACATCCGAACTTAGCCCTTCCTTACTTGTTAAATATACAAATTCTCATAATGATTGCGTCAAATATCTTCGACTTGATATAAATCAAAGATAAACTTGGAAAAGTCATATTAATGACAAAGAAATTCAATATAAGAACAAAAAAAATGTATTGGCTGCTTGGAAAAAATCGCAGCTTTTTCGGCTTTACAAGGCTATTTTGAAGCAAGCTAAAATGCTATCCAACTGTGGGGTATTGCGAGCCAATCAAATATTGAGATTCTTCAACAATATCAGTCCAAAACGCTTAGACATATTGCTAACGTCCCCTAATTTCTGGCTAATGATAAAATTCATAAAGATTTAAACATTCTATACGTTAAGGATGAAATTCCCAGAATAAGTACAAAGTACGTTGAGAGACTGCATAATCATACAAATCTTCTGGCAATAGCCCTACAAGATAATAGCGATACAGACCGAAGACTCAAAAGAAATCATGTGTTAGATTTATCTTTTAGAAATTAAGTTGTGTATGTATTGTAAATAAAATCTTAAATATAAAATTTGGAATATAATAGCTGTTCTCACTGGAGTTCAACTATTTCTGTTGTAATGGTAAATTTTTAACTAATTTACTATATATTCTTATTGATAGATTGTAATATATTCGAACTTCCATAAACAAAGTCTGATTATTTCCAAACAATTATTTTTGTACCCTGAACAGAACAGGGTATATTAAGGGGTCATCTCAATTGACGGCCTTTTTTTTAGTTTTTTTAAGACTTTTTTTCTACGACCAGAAAATATATAGAGCTTTAAGTTTATTATCATTTGTTAACATATACTTCAAAAGTGTAAATTTAAATTTTAAGCTAAAAATATTGTGTAGATTATGAGTTACAGTGTTCTGAACACCCCCGCATCGAAAATATGGGCTCGCATTTCCTTCACGATTCCGACTGAATGACTTATCTCATACAAAAAATAATAAAAGTGTTTTAACCTGTAAGCCTAAATTCACGGAATGAACTATTATCAAATGAATATACAAAAATGGAACTTTTGGTAGATATTTGAAATAAAGGTTTTTTGCTATTAAAGAAAATCGAAATTTGGGGAAGTTTTAATTGATGATATTCATTCCATGCACTTACATGTGCTGAGTGTACCCTACAACTTTCAAGCCGCTCTTAAAACGGCTTCGAAATTTCGACACGTTATTGCACTCTTAATATGAAAGAAAAAATTAATCGATTTTTTGAGCCCATTACATTAAAGGGGGTCATTTAGTTTGTCGGAGACCCTATAAAGTATAGTGAAATCTTCTATGGCGGACAATACTTTCATGAACACAACGTTTTCATTCAAATTTTCATACAAAACAATTTCTATAACTTATATAAATATATATAAACATGTGATTGCTGGAGTGGGGAACTTACAATTTATTGTAGACACCATGGACAATTTTCAATATCGGAACATCATAAAACAAAATGTTAAGCAAAGTGCAGAAAAAGTGGGTATTAAAGATAGTTTTGCTTTTTATCAAGATAACGACCCACACTTCGCAAGTTGCAAAGCTCTGATTAATACACAACTGCCCGAAACTATTGCAGACTCCTCCCCAGTCTTCTGATTTAAATGTTATCGAACATGTTTGCGAAGAACTGTCAAGAAGGCTTTATAGAAGAAATATAACAACATTACACAACTAAAACAGGCCTTACAAGAGAAATAGGATAAAATTTATCCCTCACTTTGTCCCTCAATTTGGTCAAATAGATTACAAGCTGTTGTGTAATCAAAAGGCTACGTCACAAAATCCTAATCTTTTAACAGACCTGTCTAAACCTCATTTAATTTTCGTGTCCGATTATTCGTGTGAAATTAAAATCTTTGTGTTTTGTATTAACTCGCGCTTTTTCGCTAAACGCAAAAAATTTGCGAAAAAAATGATAAAATATTAAACTACATTATTTAATGAAAATATATGGATCATTTAAAAAACATAAATTTATTTTTTAGCAACTTTTTATAAAATTTTTCTTTCCTTCCTTCCTTCAGTAAAGTGTGTTCGATTATGCATGTGAACCACGGTACATATAATTGATCAGCGTGACGAGCTGTCGATTTAGCCATGTCGGTCTCTATATACAAACTAGTCCCTCAGTTTTTGACATCTCATCCGTCTGAAATTTTGCATACGTTCTTTTCTCCCCAAAAAGCTGCTCATTTACAAACTGATCGATCAAAAACAAGCCAAATTAAGGAAAACTTTCCACTCCACGAAATTTGGCATAGATTGCTATCCAAACCAAAATTGTTAACATTGGACCAATATAGTATACAGCTGCCTTAATTCGACTTTAATATTGTTTCTATCAACCCCATGGTTAAAAAGAACTAGCAAACCGTTGGCCGGTTAGGTTTACATATTCGGTTATATAGGGTAATCCGTTTCGAGGTTTTATACTTTTTTAAAGAAAAAAACACAGAAAATTCAAATTTAGTGGGAAATGTTTATAATCATTTGAAAGAACATTCTTTGGCATAGATTATCTCTTTCAAATGTTGGCCGCGGCTACGTCTCGTTGAGTCCGATTTTCGATGACTCGTTCGAGCATTTCGACTGGTAACTGGCGAATGACACGTATGATGTTTTGCTTCAAGGCCTAAATCGAAGCAGGATTGTCCGCATAGACTTTAGACTTTACATACCACTACAGTAAAAGCTCTAACGGTGTGATGTCACACGATTTTGGTGGCCAATCGACCGGTCCAAAACGTGAAATTATCTACTCACCGAAGTGTTCTCTCAATAAATTTATTGATTGATGCGATGTGTGGGAAGTGGTGCCGTCTTGTTGGAACCAAATGTCGCCGAGATCACGAGCTTCAATTACAGGCAACAAGTAGTCAGTTATCATGGCGCGATAACGGTAGCCATTGACGGTTACGTTCTCACCGGCATCATTTTTGAAGAAATATGGACCGATAATTCCACCGGCCCACAAACCACACCAAATCGTTGTTTTTTCTAGATGAAATGTCAGCTCCTGAATCTCTTTAGGTTGTACTTCGTCCGAAATACGGCAATTCTGCTTGTTTACATACACATTGAGCCAGAAATGGGCCTCATCTTGAACAAAATTTGGCTCGAAATCTTCAGATCTTCTTGGAACTTGTCAAGAGCGAAGCGATGTCGCTTGGGAAGGTCGAGCGGCTTCAGTTCTTGCACAAGCTGTATTTTTTACGCAAGTCGTTCCATACGTCAGTCCAAGTTGCTGCGAACGGCTCCGAATAGACTCTCTACGGTCATCGTGTACACTCTCAGCTACGGCCGCTATATTTTCTTCACTGCGTGCTGGACATATCGGTCAATATCTGGAATATATTAAAAACATATACCAGCATTATGCTCTTGATATCAAAAATGGAAGCAAGAGGTCCTTATGATTTCCATGTTTCCGCTTGGTTTCAAATCTGATTTTTTTTTAATAATAGGTAGTAAGTAATCTTAAGAAAGGACGAAGACCAAAATCGCCTTCCACTTAACAGACCACTGCAGTGTTTTCCAGGCGGAGATCACAGCAATCAAAGAAAGCCTTGCTGTATTAACAAAAAGTGTGCTCACAACAAGGAGCATATATATATATAGTCTCCTATGGTCTCATCAAAGATAGTGAAAGAATGTCTTGATCTATTAGAGGATCTAACATCCTACTTCACGATAAACCTGCAATGGGTTCCAGGGCATAGTGATATCCCTGGTAACTGCGAAGCAGATTAACTAGCCAGAACAGGTACCACTCTACAACTAACCCTGAAAAAGAGGGTATTTTTATGCCCCTGGCAACTTGCAAACACTTAATCAGCGAACATGCTATAAATATAGCAGAGTCTCGGTGGAGACAATCAATAACCTGCTCAACCAGCAGACTAACGTGGCAGGAATGGAGCGTGAGTCTCACAAACCGACTATTAAAATTCAAAAGGAATGACATACGAACTCTGGTAATATAAAATTATTTGTACTGATGAGCTTCATCAGGAGCATAGGTTGGTTCAGAGAGGAAACGATAGAGTGAGGGAACATTGGTCCCGGTGGTATCACAATGGGCCTCCTATAGGTCGTTAGACAGCCACTCTACCTACCTACTAGAAACTGACACGCCTAAGTGATTTCATATACAGTATTCAAAAATTACAGAGACTTGGTTTTTATACAAATTTCGGGTCTTAAAATTGCATATGTGTATATTGAAGAAATGTTTATAAGTTCACGTATATAACAGTGTTTCTAATTTGCATTTTAGAAACTTGAAACGGATGACAAGGAACAAATGATAAGATCGGATGTCGAACTTTTTCAAGGCAAAATCGTTTTCAATTTGGATGGTAATGCTTTCATAATCGCTACAGAAAACTCGACGCAAGATTTAATTTTGAATGGTAAACAGATTCCTTACATATTATGTTGTTAACTTATCATATCTTTTAAGAATAATGCGGTTATGTTCAAATTTTTGTGCTGATTATTATTTGTTAGCTTAACTCTCACTAATTAATCTAATACTATGTTCGCACCGAATTGAAATCCTCTTGAAAACACAATTTGTGGATTGTGGAATCAAAGTCGTTCTGACCGACATTGTGTGTTGTTTTCGATGTGTTTTCATTGACAGTTCACACATCTATTTGTTTACATTTGTTATGTACCCTACAAGAACAGTGACGGTCATCTGATGGGTAATATGACAGTCATAGCTGAACAATTTTTTTCAGCGCGCATAACAAAGTTTCTATAATTTTCTTAAGATTATTGTTTTCTTTTTGTTTGTTTGTTTTGTTTTTTCTGAGTCATTGATACCATAAATCCGGCATAGCTGAAAATTGTCAGTTAGGACTGAAAAATTCTTTTGCGCAGTAGATAATATAATTTTTATTTCTTTAATAAATTTCAAACTTTTGATCAAAATTAGTTATAATAATATACTTAAATATAAAAGGAATGCAACAAAAAATATAATAAAATATGAAAATATAAAAATAAATTTTCACTTGAGGCCATCTCCTCCTCTCAATAGCTCTGCGTACGTCTTTCTCCAATCAGTGGATAGTTCTGAATTTAAAAATGCAAATGTAAATTAACAGTACTGACATATCAAATGTGAGTGTATTGGTGAACCCATCAGCAGTTTCTTGTAGGGTACGTTTAGCCCAATTATGGAAAGTAAAAAAATTGTCAACTGACATTTAGGGCTGGCAAAATATGTCTTCTTATAATATCGATTAAACTAGAGCTGGCACCGATTATAATGAGTGGAATGTAAGTTTTCAAGGGGTTTTCAGCGAAAACTGTGTTTTCGTTTGACAGATTTTGTATGAATGAAAACACAAGTTTTCGCGTGAAAACCTCTTTTGTCTATGAAAACACGAATTTTGTGTCGGTGCGAACATAGCATAAGATTTTTTAGAATATTTATTTTTTGGAAAAAATAAAGAGTGTGCTAGAGATAGGAATATGCACTAAAGCCGTTAAGAGTTATGAAAAGGGATTCAAGTAGTAAATATATTTAGCCAATTAATACAAACTTTTGAAGTAGTTTAACGAATGACTTATACTGATAATTTGTATTCACACAAGGGGAACTAAAAATTGTTCTCTGCAAATGTGCTCCAGGGACAGAGTAATATTAAGTTTGCTACGAAGTTTGTAGCACCCAGAAAAAAACGTGGAAGATTCCATAAAGTATATATATATAAATGAACAGCGTGACGAGCTTATCTAAAACGTTCTTCTCTATAAACTATAGCATCTAGCTGAATATGAATGAATCAAAATAGAGTTCTTGTATGGAAAACTTTTTTATTTGACGAGATATCTTTAAGAAATTTGGCAAGGAATATTGTCTGCAAGGGTGCAATCTCCGAAGAAAACTTTCAGACCGGACCACCATAGAATATAGCTGCCATTCAGACTGACTGATGAAAATCAAGATCCTTTTTCCTTATTAAGTAAATTTGTTTGATTTGAAGGTTGTTTATAGTAAATAAAGTTGCTAGAATTCGAAGTAGAAAACGTATTCCGTTGGATAAAAACGGTTGGCCTCTTTTTAGATTTAGTTATACAAATAGTTGCTACAAGAAATGCACTTGTGAAGAATTAGGTTAGGTTAGGTCGGAGGGTTGATCCAAAATCGATGTATCTCACTTGGCAGATATTTGTCCTTTGAGCTATCCATAAAAACCTAATAGTGGATCACCTCATAGATCGACGAAGCGTTTTGAGCTTACTACAAACTTTTAATGCGTTTAATATAAATCCCAGCAATTTCGCTAGACACTCCAAAGGTGTGTCTACCGATATATTTCAATCTCAATCTGGCAAAGGCCGGACAATAGAGGAGGAAGTGGCAAGATAAATCTACTTCGCCTTCCTCCTTCTTTATGAAGGGTATTCTTTGCAAATGTTATTAGCCCTATTAACTGAGAATACTAGAAACTCCTTTTAAAGCCTAATTAGTCAGGAAAAAAACATACGACTTTTGCTAATTATAAATATGTTTATTATTGCATTATTTATTTTGGTATCAGCAAAGAATTTTTATGTACGGAGAATAATAATAATTGTTCTGTAGTAATAACCACGGACAGCCACTCTACCTACCTACCTACCTACCAATAACCACGCCTCGCTCCATATAACGGTTATGTACAAAAATACTAAAAGTATTTTAACTGTCTAAGTAATAGCGTCGTTTAAATTAAACAATAGGGACGAATTCTAAACATTATGAACTAAATCCGAAGAATATGGGGATCTTCGGATATGACATACTTTATACTAAAAATACCGGTTAAATTGTCATAAAACTTAATGAAATTAAGTCGGCATCTTTTCACGGCAGCAAAGTGGTGTGCTAAAAATTTGTAAAATTGATTCAGACCATCCCCTTGTATCCATATAGTGACGTAATAGTGATCCTTATTCTATTTGCTGAATAAATCGGTCACTACGTTAGATATCTAACAAAATTTAACTGGACATGTTTCCTTTGACAGGGCTTTACAATTTTATGCCCAAAATACAATAATTTTCAAGCTACCAGGTAGACTATACGAGAAATGAAAGTAAGTGAAATAATGAATTTTTGCTAAAAATAGAAAGAAATTAGCATAAGATAGCATAGCAAATTATCGGCACATACTTCCATTCAGTGGCGTAGCAAAGGGGGCCCGACCCTGTCACCAGTTTTGGGGTGACACCTACCCGGTCTCTCAAAAATAAATCGCTAGAACAAAAATTTCTTTTTCGGGGATTCCTCCACTAACACTAGCTCAGCTCTATGCATACGGTTACTGATGGGGTGTCGCTAGATTTTTTAAAGTTTATTGTAGAATGGGATTTTACAGAATCTCTTCCAAATCTTATGATTGCACTGAAATTGTTCATGACGGTTTGCGTGTCCGTAGCTTCATGTGAGAGGAGTTTCAGTAAGTTAAAATTAATAAAAAACTATTTTTCGATGAAGTTATTGCTGAGTTTGCAGCTGCCAAAGCTAGAAAGAAGAAATTAAATAATAATTAAATTAATTTTATAACAATTTCTTTTATGTCTTAGTTATTATTGGGTTTTGTTTTTTCTTCAATATTATAAATAATAAATTATCAATGTCCTTTATCATATAACATTTATTGCTTTTTACTTTCCTTGGGGTGACACCACCAACTTCCGCACCAGGTGCCACCCAAGGTAGCTACGCCACTGACTCCCTCTAACACCAATATTTTGAATATTCGGATTTCCCTTTATCAAGATGAATTTATTGTATATATTTCGGAAATTAAGCACGTCATCTTAATATGAATGAGTACAAATGTCAACTATAGCATAATCTTTCAATTTCGTCTATTATCAAACAGTTGTTTTACAAGTATAAGAACTATATTATATAAATTTTAGAAAACATATGCCTTTAATTTTTTTGAATTTCGAGAGCATCTAGAGTTCGGCTGTGGCCGAAATTAGCCCCTCTTTATTTTGTTTGATTTTAAATTATTCTTGAATGTTCGACAATTCAACTAATTTTTTAGTTCTGAATTTCATGCCAATGAATTAACAGCAAAAACCGTACAAAAAACGAGTGAATCTAAGCAATTACTGACGTCAAATGTGGTTGGGGAAACAAGTGCTACAACTCAAAACATAACATCAACAACTGTAGCAAGTGCGACAACAACAACATTGAGTACAACATCGACTACGTTAAAAGAAGCACCAGGTGGTCAAGATGGACAAGGACCCGATGCCTTAAAATGTAGCGGAAGCCCACGTATACATTCATTTCGAATTGTGAGTGCTCAGGATGCTACAACCGCCATCGTTGCTAACACTACCACCATCGACAAAAGCAGTGTGGAGAAAACGGAGCTCAGAAAATCGTATATCGAACAGCAACAGCGTCGCCGATATAGCACCTTCGACGATAACGATAGCGATAGTAGCAACGACCACAAAAGATCTTCCAAAATACAAAAGCCGATATTGATGTGCTTTATATGCAAACTGTCATTTGGGAACGCAAAATCTTTTAGCTTACACGCTAACACAGAACATCAATTGACACTACAAACAAAAGAACAGCATTTATTAAACTGCGAATACTCGAGCGTAATTATACAGCCGCAAAATATGGATGAACGGCCGCAAATATCATTCCTTGAGCCAATTGATGTGCACAATGCAATCCAAAATGATAAATTAAATTCTGAGACTGATATTCAATTTAATGAGGGTACATCGCAAGTATTTTCTTGTAGACTGGATAGTGCGGTTGATACTTCCATCTCTGAAAGTTCGAGTACAGGATGTGTAAGAGCTGAAAAATCGGACAAACCAGCGCCAATATCGTCAAACTCTAACTCATTATCGCCATCTTCATCTTCAGCTTCCCCCGTGTCATCAGCAGTAGTACCAATAGCACATACCGTGTTGTCACCATCACAGATAACATCAACTACGTTGTCCAGCGCAATCGAATGTATTAACGATAGCCATCTATTTCAAACAACCTCATTTTCAAAATGTATGCTCCAGGGGCAGCGAAATGAGGTGAGCGATACTGCAGCAACAACTGCAGTAACAACACTGTTATCAAGCCCTAAATTTGAAACCAGTGAACAACAGCAGCAGCAAAATATAAAGGCAAATGTAGCCATAGAATCGAACGACAGTACTGAGTCCAAAATGCAAAGTGCATCGATATCACGATCACTGATTCCCTTAACAGAGAACATGTTAGCACTAACCCCACCCTTATTACCAAAAAAAGAATCAGAAAATATTATTAAACTTGACGAACCATATAGTATGGACAATAGAACTGCATCTGGCGGCGTTTTATGCTCAAGTGCTGATGTTCAACTGAAGCCAAGATTGATAGCGTCTCCGATCCCTACAAATAAAAACACCGCTATGACCTGTGATATGGGCAGTTATGACGAACGCGGTTTATACTCAGATTACATCCGTAGCCCGCCTTTGACAACATTTAGGAAAACTCATGATAAAATGATAGAAATGTCCTCATTAACAGTTAATGCTCCAACTACTCATGGTGACTTTGTACATTTTGAAGCATCTTCAGGAACGGTATCAGAGGAAGGTAATATGTTGAATCCAACAGATACACTGGCAGAAACAGTTACATTTTTGAAGCAGCAGCAGCGACAAATTGCAACAATGACCAGTACCTCCTATGCCACCCCTCAACCTGCATTAATGTCCATTGTACCCACGCACACTCAACTCAGCTGCTTACATGCCTCTTTGGCAGCTTTATCTGATGACAGAAATATCAACTGCAGTACTACAGATGCACAAAAAACGAACGCTAAATTGTTCACCGACTTTTTGCAACAGCATCTTAATTTACAACAACAAAAAACGTATTCCGATGTAAGTGGCAATTGTTCTGAACATGCCGACTATAAGGATAGCGACTGTAAGAATTGCGAAATTCAACAATTAAAGTCGTCTCCGTATCACAGTTCAATACACCAGCTTACCAACAACACGTCGCAATGCTCGCCAAATCGCAATAATGGCAGTTGTACCAGCAGCGCTATTATGAAATCTCCTGCACACATGGCCACATCTCCTACAGCTGTCAATGTCTCAACTGCGACAGTAGCGGCGACAGCGACAACCCAGCAACAAAATGCAGCTGCTGCTGTAGCTGTGGCTGCTGCAGCAGCAGCAGCTGCGGCAGCTTCAGTGGCTAACAATACCTCAAGTTTTACTATCGGCGCATGTTCGGACCATATCAACGGACGGTCTTTAGGCGTAGAATGCGCTCGGTAAGAATACATTGTTATTTGATTCCTTGATATAAACGCAGCTTTTAAAATAATATTATTAGTTTACATTTTTTATGTTTATTGATCGTGTATGTATATATCTCCTACGATATTGTGTAGAGTTATCTATCAACGATCCCTGTATATTACCTAGGGTATGTTTTGAAAATGTTGGAACCAAGAATTTCAATTGTTTATACTATGAGAGAAAAATTTATGTAAAATGGTTATAATCTCCTCCTTAAACTATATCTGCTATATTAAACACCCTATCGCAGCAACTCAAGTCTTGATAAAAAAATGTCTACAAGTAGAAAGCGTAATATTGTCGCCGACCTTCCACTTAACTGCATTCATGAACATTACTAAAAGTTCGATACTTCAACGAATTTTGCCAGGTCTAAAGAAATAAAAAGTGGAGAATGATGTAACTACAAGATAGAAGTCTGAGCCTCAGACGTAGAAATCCTTTGCGCGAAGCTTCATATCCAAATAAAGTTTCCTATACTCTATCTTTATTATAGTCATAAACACAAATGACCACGACATCAACGCTTAACCTAAAACTCACCGATCTAAGCAGTGTTAGATTGCCCATGGCTGGACAAAAACTGGGTCAATTCCGATATCGTAGAAACTTCTGTCGTGGGAATTGCTACACTTGCGCAACTTCTTTCTGAATACGGTAGCAAGCTAAACTCCAACTTATCCAGAATCGACCCCGACATACCAAATATATGTTCAGCGTGCAATAAGTTCCTGCATGACTCCAACCACCTCTTTGTACGCCCAGCGAACCCCACTCATCTAATGCCCCTCTCGCTATGTTCCGGTCCCGTCGAAACAGCACGTTTCTCGGGCCTACCGTTAGATAACTTCGGTGACAGCCAACCAAATCTTTACCACCTAAGCCAATAACAACAGCATCAACGACACAATTTAGCCACTTTTTATAACCCGAGCAGGGTATAATACGTTTACCACGAAGTCGGAGATCCTATAAAATATATATATAAATGATCAGCGTGACGAGCTGAGTTGATTTAGCCATGTCCGTGTGTTTGTATATACACGAACATGTGCCTCCGTTTTTAAGCATCGCTCCAAAATTTTGCACACGTCCTTTTCTCTCAAGAAGCTGCTCATTTGTCGGAACCGCCGTTACTGGACCACTGTAGCATATAGGCATACAAACTGATACTGATCTGTATCAAGTTCTTGTATGGAAAACTATTTAATTTGACTAAATATATTCACGAAATTCCGCATAATATATTTATACTCTCGCATCCTGTTGCTACAGAGTATAATAGTTTTGTTCACCTAACGGTTGTTTGTATCACCTAAAACTAATCGAGTTAGATATAGGGTTATATATATAGGTATAAATGATCAGGATGAAGAGACGAGTTGAAATCCGGGTGACTGTCTGTCCGTCCGTGCAAGCTGTAACTTGAGTAAAAATTGATATATCTTTATGAAACTTGGTATACATGTTTCTTGGTACCGTGAGACGGTTGGTATTGCAGATGGGCGTAATCGGACCACTGCCACGCCCACAAAACGCCATTAATCAAAAACAAATAAATTGCCATAACTAAGCTCCGCAATAAGATACAAGACTGTTATTTGGTACACAGGATCACATTAGGGAGGGGCATCTGCAGTTAAATTTTTTTTTTTAAAGTGGGCGTGGTCCCGCCTATAATAGGTGTAATGTGCATATCTCCTAAACCGCTAATGCTATAATAACAAAATTCACTGGAAGCAAATATTTTTAGAACCCCTACCTACAGTGTGAAAATAGTTGAAATCGGGTGGCAACTCCGCCCACTCCCCATATAACGGTACTGTTAAAAACTACTAAAAGCGCGATAAATCAAGCACTAAACACGCCAGAGACATTAAATTTTATCTCTGGGATGGTATGAGAAGACTTTATAGGAACCGCGTTTAAAATTAGACAGTGGGCGTGGCACAGCCCACTTTTAGGTGAAAACCCATATCTTGGGATCTGCTTAACCGATTTCAACCAAATTCGGTGCATAACGTTCTTTTCATATTTTTATGTTATAGTGCGAAATCGGACTACAACCACGCCTATTTCCCATATAACACCATTTTCAATTCCATCTGATTCTTTCACTTTCCACTATGCATATCAAGTAACAATGATTATATCGGGGTAAAACTTTGCGTGAATAATACGTTTAATGTATGCCACCTTGTGACCAAAAATTGTCTAAATCGAACCAAAACTGTTCAAGCCCCTAAGTACTAAATATGTGGACCCCAGTGCCTATAGCTGACCTTCTGCCGAAAATATCAGCCAATCCACAAAGAAATCTCAAACGAGTATACCATTTAACTTTGCGAGAGTATAAAATGTTCGGTTACATCCGAACTTAGCCCTTCCTTACTTGTTTTAATTTGTGAAGGGTATTCTAGCTGCAATATAACCGAAGTTAACGTATTTCCCACTACAGGTTTTATTAATTTTTGTGCTTAATTGAACAAATGAGCACGTACTCGGAGCAACTAGGAAGGTGTGTACATCGTACTTAAACATAGCAAGCGTACATTGCCTCTAGGATATTTTGCATAGATTTCAATGAATTTATACAATGGGCAATTAGTTGGGACTTTGTATAACTCATTGCTTAAATTATTTCATCAAAGTATAGAAAACACTTCGTTTACATGCATGAGTACATAATTGGCTTTTATATGGTGCATCGTGGGATTCCATCCCCCATCTGCAGAATCAAGCGTTAGTTTTGCCTCGTTTGTATCTCTGGAGAATCACGGAAATCCCAACGCGCTAACCAAACGTAAAACCGATAAAGCAATCTCAATTAAATCAAATACGCAACCTCTTTCATAACATAAATGAACAATTGTATGAGTCTAAATAAAAATATGTCCAGTATTGTAGCATACAACAGACTGTATCGCAGCTGATACAACGGCGGGAATGCAGTAAAATTACCTACCCAATGGTGCGGGTATCTCATTAGCTACTGATTTTATACCATTTGCACAGCCCCAAATGCTCTTCACACAAGCATAGAATAAATATGCATGAGAATTGGTAATTTTGTTTATTATCAGTTATTTCTATTATTATTAGGAGTGTGCCAATACGAGAGAGACCATAAAATTCCTGGCACACAGATGCATATGAAATTAATATAAAAGAAAATTAAGAATCAAATATTTATGTAATTGGAATACACGGTATTATAATATATGAAATAATCATTATTTTTATCTGCAGAAATAAAGTAATGAGTATACATACTTACTCATTGAAATTACATTGCCGAATTAATCTAGAGATCTTATCATATACATAAATAAATAATTTTGTTTAGTTATTAACCCAAAAAAGGAATTTATACATACGTATTAGTTACATAGTTTCAATTTAATATATATATTTAATATATGCAAATGTGAAAATCTGTCAATGCTAATCTCGCGTTTGTTTATTTGACAGGTGCGAAATGATTTTAAATTCAACGCGTCTTAACACAGGCGTTCAAATGTCAACACGTAATTCTTGTAAAACATTGAAATGTCCTCAATGTAATTGGCACTACAAATATCAGGAGACACTCGAGATTCATATGCGTGAAAAACACCCGGATGGCGAGAGTGCTTGTGGCTACTGTTTGTCCGGTAAGTAAACTTATTATGTTTTATCTATCAAAATTTGGTGACGTGAATAGTCCAACGCAAAGACCGGTGGAAAAACCTTTGAAAATGGTAAAAAGTGAAAGAAGTTCACATTTGAAATTAATTTGTTTTTGCATTTTTTGAAATTTAATCTAATATATATTTTGTTGAAAATTTGGTTTTTTCGATTTTAAGTCGAGATTAAGTTTCCTTCTTATATTATAAACAAAAAAACACAGTGTCTTTGAGACATAAGTAGGTAAGTTTTCAACTTTAATGAAAACATTTTTTTGGACAATATAAAAATTAAAAACCCAAAAACTTAGATATTTGAATTTTTTCACAAAAATTTTGAGGTCATGTGAAAAGGGTGTAAATACAACAGTTGTACATATTATATATAAACTTATATAACTTTTTTCTATGGGAGTCGTAATTTTGCCGGAAATCGAGTTAAACCGTTTTTAACCCTTAAAAATTCAACCAAGCCACTTCCCTTCCTCTTCCCGACTTCAGATCGCCCGTTAATTATTTTTCATTTAATTTTTGATATTTTATCTTTCATTTCCTTTGGTTTTCATTCTACTATACCTTTTTTTTACGTTTAAAAATTATCTTCCTTGGTCTAATAACAAATATTCTTAGTATTCTTAGTGCTCTCTTAGAAATAATCTAAGTTATAATAATCTTATTATGAACTTGCGGATACCTTTTTGTTTTCTGATTTTCTCTACTTTGTATAAATTGTCATTGGCAAAGAGAATGTGCGTTATATAGTGTTTGCTATTTTCTTTGTAAATATACAATATTAAGCCAAAAACTGATCTTTATTTTTGCGTCATCAGGTTAGCAGATGCAATTTATCTTTAACTTATCTCCAGAGTTTGAATACGTCTCGACCTCAAATTTTTTGTACAGCTCAAGTGCTCTATTTTCTTTAGTATAGGTAAAGAAAAATCGCTATTGGAAGGAAGAGAAGGCAATAATCGCAGCATATGAAGAATTACAGCTAGCTTCAATAACTGAAATTTCAGACAGAGTGTACAGAAGTCGAAAAGTTACATAAAATTTCTTGCAAAAGATGTCGGGGTACGGTCAAAATAATAAAGACGGTAACCATAAAGAGATTTCGGCTTGGAAATCTGATTGGCACTATGTTGTCTTTTCACATTATAAGAAATTTAATTTGGGAGGGTGCGATAGATACAATGCTTATTTCTATGATCTTCGGGAAAGAACAACAATCAGTTGGAACAACAACTTAGTCGTGTGTAAAGCAACTCTTATTTCTATGATCTTCGGGAATATGAACATCAGTCGGAAGAACAACATAGTCGTGTGGGCGGTGTGACAATTTGGGGAGCCATCTCCTACTATGGTACTTGCAAACTGCACTTTACTAATACTAATATGAGTGCAAACGCGTATAAAAATGTACTGGAAACTGCTTGTCTCTTATTTAAAATTTTTTCTTTGGAAATTTGCACGACATGATAATGCACCAATTCACACCACCCGGGTCTTTTAAACTTTAATTTAAAAAAAAGTTTGGATTTAATGCAGTATCCGCATTACTCAACGGACACCAGTGTAATAGAGAAAATTGAATTAAAAATGTCTGGTCATCAAATTTCACAAATCGCTAACTAATTTGAGATCGCTCTTAACAAGGCTAGTTCGACCCATTCCAAATAATATACATATGCTTAAGCTACTTAATACATAAATTAAAAAATATGTTTTACACTGAAAATGACAAACAATAAAGGTAAAATGTGCTAACTTCTTGACCTAATTGAAATTATTATTTTTTTTGTTCATATAATTTAAATATATAGATATAAGATGAAACAGTAATTGTTATTATATTCAGTATAAAATTAATTCGTTAATAATCGCAAATAGTTTTTGCGATGGGGCTTCTTTAGCTTTAATAGGAATTAACCAAAATTACTTGAACCCGAGGTGTGCTATCCTGATGATGCGGAGGGTATGGCAAATTATTGAGGCACATTAATAAAATAATAATAAAAGGTACAGTGACTGTAAATGTGGAACTTAAGCTTACCCAACGATTTCGATGGATAAATGAACTAGTAATTTTGGAATTATACTACCATATTTCATATTCTACAGAATAAAACGGCTGTTTTTAACATCTAAAATTAATCCTTATATCAAAATGATCAGGATGAAGAAACGATATGAATTCCGTTCCTTCTATCTAGGCAAGCTATAACCTGAGTACCACTTGAGGTATCTAAATAAAACTTGAGGGACACCCGTGGTTTAAACTTTTTGTTTTTAAAAGGGGCGGTGCCATATTTGCTAAAACGTATAGTGTACATAACATATCTCCCAAACTATTGAAACCACATAACCGAAGCTGATAACATTTTTGCTTAGCCTTTCCTGATACAGTTAAATGGGTCAAACCGGATAATAACTACGACCACCCCTACAAAGGTTACGTTGAAAACTACTAAAAATCAGTTCGGTCGCTAAAGAAAAAACCATACGCGTTCAATTTTACAGTAAAGATGGTGTGGTAGGTATCACACCGCCTGCTTTTAATGAAATCTCATACCTCAGCGACTACTTTACCAAATATAACCATAGTTGGTAAATAATTCTTTGTTATTGGATTGAAAAGTGGGCGGACCCGACTTACAATGATGCTCTTTCCCGTATAACACAATTTGAAATTCTAATAGATTCTTACACTTTATAATATTATATATACATAAACACTAATAGAGATATCGGAATAAAAATGTATGCAAATAGTATCTTGAGGTGTAGTTAAAATTTATAAAATCGGACCATCAATTTTCATGGCCCCATATACCGTCCAAATGATATATTAGATTGTGAAAATGGGCGAAAATCTGACTACAACCACGCCCACTTCCTAAATTTTTAATTCCATATGATTATTTCACTTTTCAGTGTATAAATCAAGCACTAATGAAGTTGTCAGAATAAAACTTTGTAAAAATAATGGTTCAACCATTCAGCTCTCTCTAGTCTAAACGTTTAAATCGGATCACAACTGTTAAAGTCCTCAGATACCGAAGTAGACCGCAGTGTCTAGGCCTGACTATTTACCGAAAGTATCGGTCAATCTTTGAGATATATTATTAAAATCAGCGAGAGTATTTTCCCGACAATAATGTGCTCTCTACAAAATTGAGTAAAATCGGTTAAAAAAATCGGTCCTCTAGTTCCCATATACCTAATATAAAATTTTTCAAACTTCCAGCTGATTTTATACCACATATATCGGTCATAGAGTTATTTTGATGAAACTCAGAAGCCATTTATATTTGGTAATGGCTAAAAAGCGTTAGAATCGAGTCAACACTTCCCTAGCCCCTATATACCTACTGTTCGAGTTTTAAACGGTTGGCTTTTATCGTATATGTCTGTCAATATGTAAAGTATCTTACGTACGTGAACGTATAATACTCCATATATTATATAAGTACTATATTTTATTGCTGAAAATGTGTAAAATCGGTCAGCGAATTACCACAGCTGCCGTATACTAAATACACATAACAATGTTCGTTATTCTATTTTCATTAAATTACGTGGAAGCATGTTCTTTAGTAATTCCAAAAATTATTACAATCAGTATAGACCTTCTACTAGCTCTAAAATATACAGTGATCTTCGACTTTCCACCTGAGGCTGAACCGTCTATTGGTTTATTAACTGGTATACCTATTATAGTTTTGCAATTTTTTTTTAAATAGTTATACTTGTAATGTGTTATAAATCAGTTAAGCAGAAATTCAGATAAACTTTTTAAAAAAGTAGTTTCGAGAATAACTGGTTTAAAGATCCAGAAAAATTACGCCTAGTGTCAACCGACCCAATCGCTTTGGAGGTCATGGAGAAAAATCTTCCGATTTTTACTACATTTCTAGACAATTCCGAGGTATGACTTCTCTATCATGCTTTTTTAAAAATCAACAGACATATTCAAACTAGCTTTTTGTGAAAAATGTTTGAATGCGCTCAGAATGAAAACTTTTTTACTTGTAAATTGTATGTACATATATCTATGTGTTAAATGCAAACAACTCACTGAGTGGAATCATCTTTAACAAACCACCCCGATGCAATGTGCCGAATTGATTAAGGGGGATGATGGGCTTTAAAATTAGTTAATTACATATAAAATATTTACTCAATCAAGGAATGCGTGAATTGGAAAGCATGACTACAGAACAAGTTAATGGGGTCGGCAATGATGGCATGCGTTGATTAAAGCTCTCATTTGGAACGATAAATGATTACCATATAAATATGCTTAATTTGCATATAGCGAATGGTTGTGTCCTACGTGTCTTATTGCAAATTATGACACGTTACCGACGTACCGATAATTATCATAACGAGCTCGTGTAATGGAGCAAAAATCAACTGTAAAATGTACAGGCATTACGACACGTGGGGTAAGTCTCTAACGCACGGAAAGTCGAACGCCAGAGAATTGTTTGCAAATTTGCATACAAATGAAATCTACATGTTCGATTCCTTTTTTCACTGAGACCAAAATATCAATGAAATCCTTCATAAAATCTTTAAAGCGGAAATTACATTTGAAATTAAATATGAAAAAATTGAAGCTATAATACTCTTCACAAATAAAAAAGTTTCCGTACAACAACTTGATTTTGATCGGTCAGTTTGCTATTTGCTATATTGATTTGATCTGACCAATTTACTCGAAGACTATACCGTTGTTTTGGATAATAACGCATGCCAATTTTCGTGAAGATATCTCGCCGAATGAAAAAGATTTCCATACAGGAACTTAATTCCCATCATTTAGTTTGTAAGGCAGCTATATGCTATAGTGGTTCTTTTGATTTGGCTTTTATTCGATGTGGTAAACAAAGACGAAGGACACAATAGAAATCAACTAAAACCAGTAAGGCATACATTAGTTTTTATACTCTCGCAATTTGTGCAATGGCGGTGAAATACTATGAGATGTAGATAAACTTGTATATTAAAAATTTTGCAAATGAATTTAAACATTACTTCATTTATATTCGTGTCCGAGATATTTATGTTAAAATAAACCTAATTAACTGAAATGAAATACAGTCATTCAGTATAACGAACTTTCGGAATAACGAATTTCCGGTTTACCCAACAATCAAAAATATTGTTACCCCTTGGAGACGTTCAATCTTGACGTTTTGATCCATTTTGAAATTAACGCTTATTCGAGGTGGTAGGTATCCCGCGATAGGTCTAAGAGCAAAGTGGGAGCCCTTATGTTAGTAACCGGGTACCCGGGTACCCACCGTGGTGTATTTGTGTGAATAGCTTAAAAAAAATTCAATATTTCATTTTAAGCTCTCAAATCGTCGTTTTTTAGCTTAAAAGAATGCTATTTGTGAGTTCATTTTTTAAATTTTTTTTTTTTATTCTACGTTGTTATTTTGTTTTTTTTTTTTTAAATTATCACTGACTATTCATATTGGAAGAAAAAAATTTTTTGGAAAAAATTTAATAAAATAAAATAAACAAAATAATAATAATACTCAGATCGTGGTACCCCGGTACCCGGTTGCTAAAAGACGTCGGTAAAATTGGTTACTAACATAAGGGTTAATAGGAACTACCGTCATTTGATCACTAAACACACTACTAGTAGACTTTCTCAAAGTCTGTGGACCTACCAACTCATGTCGTGGTTGGTTATGAATTAAAGCATACATTGTTAGCATGAATGGTAATAATGTGTCCTAATACCAACAATGGATAAAACCGGGTCCCCATATAAGGTTTTTCAAACTACTTGGTGGATTTATTTATACTCGTGCAAGGTATCAGTTAATATGTTAGATGTCTTAACAAAATTAAAGGAACTAACTATAGCCCATTCAAAATTATAGACTACAGTTAGGAAGCGAAAATGGATAAAATAGAACCACTACTAAACTCAGCCCCGAACCACTATACATATATAAATATTATTATTAATCATTGATTCAGTATAGGATCATATATCGGTATATATCTTAACACAGCATTAATTTTGTTAGATTGAAACTAAGTGATTATTTATAAATTAATAAAATGGCAGATATGATTCCAATCAATTCACGTTTTCAACGAATTACGAATATTAAATTAATTTGAAAAATGTTTAAAGATATCGTTTTGCCAACACCGGAAAATATACCCTCGCATTTGATACCTAAATATTCCGAATGTACAAATGACCTTCCTTACTTATGTTCCCCTAATAAAATATTGAATTGAGCAGATTAAAGTTATGTTTTCACTAATGGATTTAACATAGGTAATGTTATACTGTATCTTATTTAATTACTTCATCTAGTCCCTTAAACTGCGAAGCTCCTAGACTGATTCTGTAGCCAGACGGATGACACTTTTTGCAATCTCAACAACTATTTCGTTTTCCGGAAATCCGGTCTGGCCTGGAAACCAGTATAGGTATATGCAGTCGTTTTCCGGCCGCACCTATAGCTACTGCCTCTCTGCTTCTTAACACATTCTCTTACGCAAAACGATGTGAGGTTATTGCCTTAATTATTGCCCGTCTGTGTAGATGTTGTAAGTTCCACTGGCGAGTCGCATGCTCTTGCGCCATCCGCCCTTTATAGTGTGACTTGAAACCTTCTCTCCCAAATAAATAAAAATATTAAATTAAATATTTTAAATTAAAAACTAAATGAGATAAGGTCATGAAGAATAAAACGCTCTCTTTTTCAAAATGGCATAATGGTTTAGACGGCAAATACATTTGAGTGCATATATAAATGCAAAAAAATCTGTTGCCGAATATATATGAAAAATTACAAAAGATTTTACTTCTTTAATTTTTCAAAAATGAAATAAAAACTTGCTTCTCATTACTGACATTATTCTTTTGCACAGGTCAACAGCATCCCCGTCTAGCACGCGGCGAGTCATATTCTTGTGGATACAAACCATATCGCTGTGAAATTTGTAACTACTCGACAACGACAAAAGGCAATCTTTCCATTCATATGCAGTCCGATAAGCATTTGAATAATATGCAGGAGTTGAATAGTTCACAAAGTATGTTAGCAGCCGCCGTCGTTGCTGCTAATAGTGGAAAGGCGGATGTTGCATCCAAAATGTTGCTATCCAACAGTGCTGCAGCTGCTGCTCAACAACAACAGCAAGCACTACCGCAGTCTCAATCCCAACAACCACACTCTACGCTTGTCGCCAGTTCGTCAATGTGTAGTACCTCCGCTTCTGTGAGTGCCAGTGGTCTCGCCAGCGTCGATGGCATTGGAACTAATTGCAACATGCTCAATAAAAATAAGCCGTCCTTTCGTTGTGACATTTGCAGTTATGAAACATCTGTAGCACGAAATCTTCGTATACATATGACCAGCGAAAAGCATACGCATAATATGGCTGCACTGCAAAATAATATCAAGCACATACAAGCTTACAGCTTTTTACAGCAGCATTCGCAAGTTGTAGCCGCACATCAGCAACAACAATTAGCAGCAGCAACACAGGTATCACAATCACAATTACCAGCACTGGCCAACAGTTTTTTGCCAGAAATCGCTTTAGCTGATTTAGCTTATAATCAAGCGATAATGATCCAGTTGCTGCAGCACAACTCTGTTAGTCAACAACAGCAACAACATGAATCTGTTGCCAAAATGCAGGTAAAAACTTCACCATGTTCCTCACCGCGTTCCATGCAAATAGAACAGCAATCAACAGCTCACCAGCAGCAACAACAGCAACTCCAACAATTACGTCAACATTTACAGCAGTCTTATTCACCGAACAATAGTTCATCAATGTTATTACTTTCGGCTGATCCGTTCGGCACCAGCGATGTAAATTTGCCTTCCCACGTTAGTGGTAGCTGCAGTAACGACGAAACGTTGGAGCCACCCATACATGCCGATCCATGTCCAACAAACCTGTATAGTTGCTTAGTATGTGAGGTGTTCGGTACAAATAGTTTAGACGAATTAAACCAACATTTGCTGATTGATCGTTCACGTTGCTGCAACAAGCAGCAAGCTACACCAACAAATGCGGTCGGCAACAGTTGCACCGAGAATGCTAATGTCACTAATACAGTTAATAGCAATGATATAATGGTAATTTTAAACAACAATTACGTTTGCCGATTGTGCAACTATAAGACTAATCTAAAGGCAAACTTTCAGCTGCACAGCAAAACGGACAAACATCTGCAAAAATTGAACTATATAAATCATATACGTGAAGGCGGTACACAAAACGAATACAAGCTAAAACATTTACATCTAGCTACTAACACAGTACAACTTAAATGCAACTGTTGTGATTTCTACACAAATTCCATCCAAAAGCTGTCATTGCACACGCAGCATATGCGTCATGATACGATGCGTATGATTTTCCAACATATACTGCATATCATGGAACAGCAAAATTTTGAGCGAAACAAAACCAAAGAGATGGCACCACACTCAAAAACTCATTCACCTAAAGATGCAACTGAAATTGTTCCAAGTATTCGTGAGTCGCACAGTGTTGTGCCTGTTCATGAAAATGATGGGAGTGACACCAACCACAGCAGCAGCATTGCAGTGGAAGACACGCCGCAGTCGATGCAAAAGTCTTTAACATGTCAATTGTGTGATTTTAGCACGTTTACGTTGCTTAATATGATCCAGCACGTGAAAAGTATGCGTCATATGCAAATAGAACAGTTTGTAAATCTACAACGACGCAGCGAGCAACTTGATCCTCCTAGTCTGGATGACATTTTCAAGATGGTAGAACGACCTACACTACAGTCTTCGGCACTAACAGCTGCTGCAAGACAAGAAGGTAAGCAATTTATTAAGCGTTTAATAAAATTATCAGTGTTGCTAATTAAGCAACATTTACCACCTAACATATGTGCCTAAGTTTTCTATGATTTTATAAGGTTTCTTTTAGCGTTATTTTATCTTTTAAAAGTAAGTCCTAAATTGAACTTACAAACTTTGAGTTGCTCGGTTGGTTGATTGGTTGGTAGAAAGGGGAGGCGCATGAGCGCCAGACCGCAGGCGGCCGCACTTAGGGCACAATGAGACTTAGTATTTGAGCTGTTTATTTTATAAATATTTTTTAGCAAATAACTTTTACTCCGACGTTGTTCGCACATGTATTCGAATAGCGCCATTCAGTCGTATAAGCAGTAGGTAATAAAATGAATGAATTCTATGAAGGGTTACAGGGTTTCTAAGTTGAATATACTATATTGCAAATGAATTTCAAAAAATATGTGTCGTACAAAAAGTTTAAGACTGTAAAGCCGATGAGTTATCAAGAGGGGGCACTCTTATCTCGCTAACATCGGAGTGGGGACGAATTGGATCTCCGTTGTCATTTTGCTTTCTAGTAATAGACCTATGGACCTCGCGTGTAGGTAGCTGGCATTGATCGACAACCAGCTTCTGCGGGACTGCGAGATCATTCTGGCCTAGAGTAGAACGCAGAAGATCTACTAAACTACTTGCCTTTAGTAAAGCACATCTTGCCGCAATCGTAAGAGTTCTTACTGGACATTTTCCAATATTCATTCATTCTGTAAGGCTAAAAAGCCAGTCGGATGCAAATTGTCAAAGTTGTATGGAAGGAGGTGAGGTGGAATCAACTAGGCCCTTTCTCCTCCATTGTCTAGCTTTTGCAAGACTGAAGTTAAAACATCTCGGCAGTCATACCTTCGACGAACCAGGAGACATAGGCAAAACTGACATTACCCGCCTTAAGAAATTTGTGAATGGCTCAAAGCGCTTCGACGATTTATTATAAATTTTATAGTTTTCTATACAAAAGCTAGATTTTGACTGATCAGTTTGTATGGCAGCTATATTCTAGGTCCGATATCGACAGTTCCGGCAAATAAACAGCTTCTTGGTGAGAAAAGGATTAGTATCCTTCTGGATGTTACAAACTTCGTAGCAAACTTAATATACCCTGTTCAGGGTATAATAATGATATTCATACCCTTGCAGTATCTAGCACAGAGTATCCTAGTGTTGTTAACTTAACAATTGTTTGTAACACCTCAAGAACAGTCAAGACAGATATAGATTTTTGTGTACAAAATTGATTATGATGAACAGACGAATTGAATTCCGTTGGTCCGTCTGTTAGACGGTCCGTCTGTGCAAGCATTAACTTGAGTACAAATTGAAATATCTTGTTGAAACTTGGTAAACGTATTCTTTGGCACTTTGAGGTGGTTGGTATTGTAATGGGTGTCAAATCTAAACACTGCCACGCCCAAAAATATAAGACTGTATAAATTAGACAAAAATAAAACTGAATCGCAATAGGGAAAAGCATCTCATAACATTTTTAGAATGTAGGCTGGGCTGCACCCCTGAGAGGTATTATATACATATGTAGGTATATATGTATCTCACCAACTATATATTATACTTTATTATAAGTTATGTTCCTAGTATAACTGAGTTAATTCATGGTAAAATGAAACTAATTTCTTCTCAAAACAAATAAAATATATTTTCAATAAGTTGATGGATCAGGGGGATCTCACCCTATATTCCCTGAAACCAGGTTTTCTCTCTACTGCCCTGGGTATACATTAAATGTTATTGTAATAACATATGTACTTATATATTTAATAGGTTAGTCTGGTAGGATGGTGGTCGTTAACATATGAAAATGTTATATACAAATAAAGACGAAAGCTTTAATTTCCGGTATAAGAATCCAAAGGTTTGAACTCAAAGTCTTACCAGTTCCACATATTGCGTACAAGAAAAAATACCGCCTTGTTCATTAGCAACAATCAATAAGAGTAATCTTCCAATAAGAGTGATATGATTTTTTTTTCAAAAGTCGTATATCATGAATAGCACGTTCAATATTAATGTCACAATTTCTTGAAATTTTCGAATCGTCAAACTTTTCTCGCAATAATTCGGTTGTGTTGTATGGCACGAAGCCCTGTAACGGTGTCACCAGCTTCATTTCGAAAGAAGTACGGACCTATGTTCCACCAGTTCAAAAATCACACCAAATTGTCAATTTAGATGAATGTAATGGTTGTTCATGAATAATTTGTGGACTTCTTTGCACCAGAATTGACAGTTTTGTTTAATACCCGAGCACAGGTGGACGATTATTACGACCATAAAATGGGAAAAGCGCACGAAAAGTTGCAATTGGAGTACGATTATTTTGATAATAAAATTTAATAATTTGTAAACCTTGCGTATGTTTTAATACCCTTCAGAAATACAAAGGCCCCTTACAAGAACTTGATTCCGAACGTTCAATTTGTATGGCAGCTATATGATATAGTGATCTGATCTGACCAATTTCTGTGGAGAATAATTTGTTGCTTTAAGCAATACCTCGTGCCTAATTTCGTGAAGATACTTCGTCAAATAAAAAAAATTTCCATGCAAGAACTTTACTCCGATCGTTCAGGTAATATGGCAGCTATATGCTATAGTCGTCCGATCTATACAATTTCTTCGGAAATTAGATTAATGCCTTAAATAATAATATTATACACGCCAAATTTCATGAAGATACCTCATCAAATGAAAGAGTTTTCCATACAAACACTTATTCCGATTGTTCAGTTTTTATGGCAGCTATATGCTATAGTGGTCAAAGTGGACAAATAAGCAGCTTCTTTGTTAGAAAAGGACAGGTGCAAAGTTTCAGATCGATATCTCAAAAACTGAGGGACTAGTTCGCGTATATACAGACGGACAGACGGACGGACAGACAGTCGGACATGGCTAAATCAACTCAGCTCGTCACGGTGATCATTTATGTAATATATATACTTTATATAGTCTCCGACGTTTTCTTCTGGGTGTTACAAACTTCGTGGCAAAATTAATATACCCTGTTCAGGGTATAATCACAGATCACGACATATTAAAAATTACCGAAACTACACTTAGAAATCATATCATTCCTATTGGAAAACCCGATACATACATATAGTAAGTTCGGTCATGCGATGCTATGGGTATAATATACAATAAATACTTCTACATATATAATAAACTATTCAATACAGTGAATATATTATTTACGAATAAAGGCGAAAACGTAGTTGCCGGTATAAAAATCCAAGGGCTTGAGGTTTAATTCTGAAAATGATTCATACAAATATTTGCCAATAGAGAAAATAATGAATTTTCCATTTGGCATTTTACTGAACATTTAATTTAATTTTTTTTATTTAATTTTGAAAACATGCTTAAGTTTAGAAATATATGTTTTTATTTATGAATTGTTTTACTTGTAATATAATTGGGATATAAATGATCCTACCTTTTAAGGTGGATCAAAAGGGACACAGTGTGTTAAATTTTACTAAAATCGGTTCAGTAGTTTAGAAGATAACCAAAAAGAAAACGTGACACGTAAATTTTATACATATAGATATGTGTATAGTTAATCTATATGAGGATGACGCGAAGAAATGAGTTTTGTGTGGCTGTCAGTTCGTCCGTTAATCAAAAAAATGAACGGTCCGAAAGTACTTAGTCTACAAAAAAATGTTTTTTTTGAAAAAAATGGCGAATTATTCCTCACCGAGGTCTCCTTTCACCTCGATTCATGCAAAAAATTACGGAAATTTTAATTTTGTTTATATTTTTTCACTTGTCAATATTATATTATGCATTTATGCCCTCGCTTCTTCCAATCGTCGAAACACTTTTCATATTGTCCTTTTGGGATAGGGCGAAAGAACTTTATTTCAATAAAATAAAAAGTAATTTACAAAATTTCTTTATGTATTTCATTTGTATATAGTATACAAAAAAATTGATTTGCACACAAAATATAACATATTTAAGTATGTATTTACATTTGAATTAGAAACGGCACCAGTTCGCTTGAGAAAACAGAAAATACAGTTCAATTATTCATATTTTTTATTTAAAATTTATTGAGCCAATTCGCAATGCTAAGCAAAATTTTAAAATTAATTTCTATTTTGCTATTATTGATACTGCATTCTATGAATTCAATCTATGAAATATGCGATCAGTTGAAACAAATTGCTAAACTTTTGGATTTTTATTTCATATTGATCAACTGCAAACTTTTGCATACACAGCTATTGTTGAACATTGTAAAAATTAAAATGTCATTAACTCAGATTGACGGATATAAGTAGAATACAAGGTATTGGCTGATAAAAGTACTGGACTTTCAAATTGTATTTGTTCAAACGAATTAATACATATCGTTCTAAATTTAGTTACCGCAATGTGTGAAGAAGGACAAAAGACAACATTATGAATAGAAAATGAAGTGGCACAAACTCTTTTCCAAATTAAAGTCACGAAAATATTTAAATAATTAACTTTTTTTGTTGTACTTTTAGTTATAATGGTTTTTAATAATTATGTTAAACTTTCGGAATATGAGTGTTGTTATTTTTTCTTTCAAAAGTTATAAATTGTTGTTAAATCAAAATAGGCTTAGAAGGGGCGCAGATGTCTGGGGAATATGGAGGCTGGGGCATCTTCACAGTATTTTTTTTAGGGGGGAGGGGTAGGGTTTCAAGGTAAAAAAATAGACTTTTTTTGCGAATTTTTTTCTTAAATATGGATTGAGTAATTTTATTCGGACTTTTTGTACATTATTGAGCATACTTTCGACAATATAGGGTAATTTTTTCATGCAGGAATATTGAAGCATAAGCCGGTAACGGAGCTTCCCCCAGAACGTCTTGAGAAAAAAACAATTTTCGGTGTTCACCATAACTCGGCTGGAAATTATCCGAAAGAAAAAAACCAAAAAAAATTAGTTAATTTATGATCAAATCTTCCCCCCTA